CCCGAGCTTCTCCTTATTCGTGAAGAGAAGGGGTTTCCCATAGGTGTGGTATGAGAGAAAAGGCTCGCCTTTTGTAGAGAGAGAAAGGGTTGGCTTTACAAAGACGCCGCTTAGGGCTGCCATGGATGGGCCTTGAGCTTCTGTGGTCTTTTTAGAGAGAGAAAATGAAAAAGCTATGTTTATTCAGAGAGAGTAGATTTGGGGTTCCTGAGGTTTCACAGAGTTATTGGATCATGGATTGAGGTTTGCACGGGGGTGAGAGAGCTGCAATTTCATCAAAAAAAAATTCAAGTCTGACTTAAATTTTTTTTTACAGTAACTTTTGCCTTGACACTACAGTATTTTTTTATTTCAATCTAAAAATCTAACAAAATGTTGAGGTTGTCCAAATGGTTCAAATCTGTTTCACAAGATTTTTGAATTGCAATCCAAAAATATTGCAATTTTGGGTACATCCAAACTGGTACTAAGTCTTTATTTAGAAATAGGACTCCAGAACAATTGTTTTGGTTGTCAATGTTGATGATATTGTTGTTGTTGGCAATGACAGAATCAGTCATTTGAAGAGACATCTAAAACAATATGTTCAGACAAAGGATTTAGGTCAGTTAATATATTTTCTCAAAATTCATGTAGCCAGATCAAAGCACGGCATTAGTTTGTCTTTAAGAAAATATGTGACTTATTTTTTGACGATATGATCCAAAATTATTGCCTAATCAAGGGGAGTTGTTTTAGGATCCAGCAAGGTACAAAAGATTGGTAGGCAGGATGATTTGTCTGACTATCACAGGCCTCGACATTGCTTTTGCAGTAAGTGTCGTGAGTCGATTTATGCATGCTCCAAGGACTCCTCACTACGATTTTGTTCATAGAATTTTAGGGTATCTCAAGGTTTGATTTAGAAGCCAAATAATCATTTAGCCATTGAAGGTTACTCAAATGCTGATTCGACAGGTTCACCGTCTGACAGGCGATCTACCACGGGTTATTGTACATCTATTGGTCGACAATTGGTACCATGGAGAAGAAAGAATCAAAATGTTGTGGCTAGATCTAGTGCAGAGGCTAAATATAAGGCTATGGCACCTACTACATGTGAATTGATGTGGCTGAAAACACTAATGCAGGAAATGGGGTTTATTATTGCTGAACCTAGAAGAGGTATTACGATAATAAAGCTACCACATATATAACCAGAAATCTGGTGTTTTATGAAAGGACAAGTATATCGTATTAGACTATCATTTTATCCAAGAGAAAGTTGCTAGTAAGCAAGTGTCTATTCCATATGTGAAATCTCATTTCTCTCATGTTTCTCTGACACGATTCAACCATCTCTCCCACATGCATGCATGCATGCACATGTATCCAATCTTTGGGGAAGCTCCATCCTTCAAGCAAGCTGCGCAAAAGATTTACATTCAAGACCACACAACTTCAAGACTATCTGTAGTATTTTAACACTCAAGAACACATCTATTGATCAAAATTATATGAGACACTCAGCAGCGTCGTACCTGCTCCCTAAACTTCCACATGACATTCATTGCAAGAAGGTTCCTTCCCATGAACTCCTATATCCAGGAAAAAAAACAGATAAGCATTTAGTCATGCTTCAATAGCAAACGAGCCCAAACTTTATTTTCACAAAGTATATCATTGGGATATAAGAAATGCTCAAGAAGGCTTCCAGAAAATGACTTGCCTCAACCATTCTTATTTGAATATTATAAGTTCCATAATTTATCCACTTAATCCAGGCTAAACCCAATCTAATAGCAATAAAATCATTCCCTAGTTTCAGAAATTCTAAAAATGCTAAGCTAATAAATCACAAGAATAACTTCACTGATTTACAGTGGCCACAGAATTTATGATTCCTTCCATGACTAATGCCAATTATACAAGAAAACATCATATAAGCCAGATTTTGAATCACCATGAGTCCTGGATCTTTGTAATTCTAACAGAGACTAGATCATCAAAGTTATTATGCCTGGGGTATTAAGTCAATGATGTTTCGCTGTATATGATTTTCCTTATATCACAGAATCTCCAGTCGAGCAAATCTGAGCCTTCAATCTGCAAAACTTATCATCTGCTATTGTTTTATCTATACGTCTTTCGATCTATTACTTTCGCAAAATAATAAGCAAGAGGAGCAAATTTCCAATTTCAGAAGATTTTGATTCCCTTAATCTTTCTACAAGTGCGACTAAATTTGCATTGTTAGAAGTTGATGCAAATAATATTAGGGTTATTTTAATTTTTTATTATTCTTTAGTTTATCTCTTCAGGAATAGGAGAAGAGGTGCATAGGGATATTTGTGGGCATTGAGTTTGTGTGTGAGTTGATATTTATGGATTGGGTTAGTTAGTTTAGGAATATAAATAAGATAAGGTTAAATCTAGGGAGGTTTTATCCCTTCAACAATAAGGAGGAGGTTTTGGATAAAACATGGGGTAAAACGTGATGCTTATCTTTTTGGTACGTGATGATTAAGAGAGAAAAGCTTATCTTTTTGGTACGTCTTGGTTAAAGAGAGAAGATATGGATGATGGAGAAAATAAGTTTAGGGAGATAAAATGGAAAAGTGAGGTGTTTTTCTTCTTTTCTTTTTTTAGTCTATTTAAAGGGACGTTTCCCTTCATTGTAGAAGGGGCGAATGAGTTAATAAAATTTGGTTCGTGAAGAGATTTTTGGGGTGGATTCCCTTGCAGACCTTGAGAGAGGGTATATTCTCTCAAACCTTTACTTTTCTTTTTTATTTTTATGGTGTTATTATTTCTCTGCATCAATTTGCGCCAATTGGTATCAGAGCTGCATTTAGAAGTCTTTGAGAATGACAGAAGCAAAGGGAAAACAAAAACATCAAGAGAAACATATGTAGAGATACATTTTACTATAATAGACAATAAAAGCCAAACATTGTTACAAGCTAAAGAAGCAAAGACCTCTACTGAACAGCCTGCCTGCAACTGCATCCCTGAAGGAATGGTCTTTTGGCTGGAGCCTAGATTTAAGGGGAGGTCCAGGCTGCTGTTTCTGCATTTGGTAGAAATATTGCTCCAGACCTTTTGAGATATGAAGGAGACTATTAAGGAAGGAACAATGGAGTTTTGTCACAAATTCCATGAAAAAACAAACTCCCTAGTCTTAAAGTCTCCATTACTTAAACTCTGAAAGCCAAAGGAGAAAAAGAGAAGGATATAAAAGGATTTCAAACGTGGGAAGTAGGCAAATGATTGTTTGCAAAGTCCATGCTTTTAGATTTAGGGTTGTGCATGTCACTTGAAGATGCTTTCTCCAAGATTGGGGATATTCTTAATGTGGCTCTACTTGTCACTAAGGAAAAGGATTATTGTTAAAGTAGAGATAGACTCACATAGATGGTATGTGATCATGATGATTGGGGCTTCTTGGACTACCTTTCACATAAATGTGGAAGATTGATAACATAGATGGAGAACGGAGTGCATCTCTAAGGCTACATTTTCCATTTGCCACTATTCATGAGTCTTTGAATCAGCTGATTGCTAAGACCATGAACCTTGGCCTAAACCAGTTTGGCACACTCACTTGATGAGGATTTCGAGATGCTTCTAGGGTTATACCAGGGTTGAGAATTAACATTGGTAAGATTTTTATCTTTGGTACAAATTGTGAGCCTAATAGTTTCTCAGCATCATCATCAAAACCTTTTCCCAACTACTTGGGGTCGGTTTCAAGAATCTTAGCCTGCCATTCTGCTATATCAATGGCCATGCCCTCAGTGAGGCCATAAGTCCCCACATCTTTTCTTACTACTTCCAACCATGTCCTTTAGGGCCTACCCCTTACCCTTTTTGAGCCTTCTACTCCAACCAATGAGCACCTCTTAACAAGTGTCGTACTGGGACTGCGCAACACATGGCCAGTCCACTTAAGTTTCTTTCTCATATCTTATCGCCTATTAGAGCCACCTAAGTTCTACAGAATGTATCCATTTTGAGCTCTTTCCCTTCTTGTCTTACCACTCATCCATCTCAACATCCCCATCTCAGCTACACCCATCCTATGAGTATGTTGTTTCTTAACTGCCCAACATTCCGCACCATAAAGCAAAGATAATCTT